AAATAAATAAATAAAAATTAAAAAAAAAAAAGAGCTGTAGGAGGCTGTAGGAGGCTGTTGGAGGCTGTTGGAGACGACAGGCTGCCGTCCCCCCAGAAAACAGAAGCCACAAAATGCTCATGGTGCTCAGAATGTGCAAGATGTGGGCAAAAGCCTCTTTAGATTTTATTTGTAAAGTATCTTATACTGCAACACCGAGACAAAGTTACACAAGTCTTAGCTCCTTTTAAAAAAAGAGTATCTATTGCATTTGCAAACAACCTTTACAGAGGACACATAGGACTAGCCTAGCCCCAGCCAGAGATGAATGTCCCCCTCTGAGGGGGTCCACATGGTCTGAGCACTGCATACCAAGAAAGTGCAGAGCAGAACTTTCCTGAGCAAGACCCCCACACCTGCCCGCACCTCAGGACTGCCTTATCTGTGTCTGAAGGCAGCCGGAGGGGGACCTAAGGGCCTGAGTCGCTGTCAGCCTCTCATTTCTTTTGCTTTACTAACTTCCTGTCACCCTATTGGTGCCTGGCATGCGGCCCCCAGAAGGCACATGTCTCCAGTGCTGGAAGTTCTTGTGGATGTTTATCCTGCAGGGTCTTTGGCATGTCTGGCAGTTCCTATGCCCTCTTCCTTTTTATTTATTTTGGCGGAAGTGGGGATTGAACTTGGGCCCTTGAGCTTGCCAGGCAAGTGCTTATTCTACTGAACCATCTCCCCGGCCCCTTCCTTTTTAAATTTGAAACACCTTAAAATTTATTTTCATTAACAGATAATTATGTCTATGGGATACAGTGTGATGTTTTGATCTAAGAATGCATTACAGGAAGACTCAGTCAAGATAATTAAATCCTACCACGTCTCGGGGGCCTGCTCATGCGAACACAGCCAGGTGCAGGGTACTGCGGTTCGATCCCCAGCTCCACATGCCTCACCAGATCCACCTTTAAAGCAGCCTGAGCCAACCTCTGCCAAAAAAAATTTTTTTTTCTCAAATTTTGAGACTGAGTGGGTGGCACGCGCCTGTAATCCCAGCTCTTAGAAGGCTGTAAACAGGCGGATCACTACAAGTCCAATCTAGTAGTGAGACCCTGAATACCCTGTAGACTCTTCCCTAAAATTAAAAAAAAAAAAGTCTATACCTATATCTATATATCTACCACCTCCCCATTTGACCATTTTTTGTGATGGGAACATTAAAAATCTGTTGGTAGGGCTGACCTGATAGCTCAGCGGACTAAAGCGCCTACTTCACGGTGGTTGGGGTTGGGTCTCCAGCCTGCTGTGCCAGCCCCACCCCCAGGGCACACTGAGACGGTGACTGAGCCTGGGCCTGGTGGCGCGTGCCTGTAGTCCCAGTGCTTGGGAGGCTAAAAACGGGGATCACTACGAGTCTGATCTGTGTAGTGAGACCCTGCAGACCCTGTGGGCCTTGCCCTAAAATACACACACATACAAAATCTGTATTGGTGATTTTGAAACATGTGATATATGTGTTAGTAATGAACGTGCTAGGAGTAAGTCCTTGTCGCCTACTTGGGACGTGGAGGGGACGGAGAGTCCAGGCAGCCTGTGGTCGGGCAGCAGCTCCATCACTCGTCTTACTGCCAGGCTCACCTTGTTAGCAGAGCTGCGCCCTAACACGGTTTCCCAGCCAGGGAATCTGGTCAACCATGCACCCTTTTGTGTCTCTAGGACAACCGGGAGACCTTTTAGCAAGTTGCTGTTTTCAATGTCACCCCAGCAGAGGCCGTTCAAAGGGCCTGAACCTTGACATCAGCCCAAGGCAATAAAGGGAGCAAGTTATCCCAGAGAGAAGCTGTACAGTCCACGTGAAACAAAACAGAAGCAGGGGAGGCGATGTAGCTCAGCGGACTAAGCACTCGCTTAGGTAAGCGCAGGCGCCGGGGTGTGATAACTGGCACCGCGTGGCGCGCCGCCCCCGCGCGCGCTGAGTCCCGGAGTCCGGGCGTGGTGGCGCACGCCGGTAATCCCAGCACCCGGGCGGCAGAAATCAGGAGGATCACTAGAGTCCGAGCTGCTTAGAATCGCGCCCGCACACATAAGCACACACACAAACACTAAAGAAAAAAACAAGGAAAGAACGAACACCCTCGCGGCTGAACCTCTGGACTGTTTTGTAGGATCGCGTCTTTGCCAGTGCTACCATACTGAGTTGCCCGTATTCTGTTTCTTCCTCCGTTTCGTTTTGTACCTTCTTGTGAGGCTTGCTTACTAGCTCAGGCTGAGTCTTCTGTCGCATCCCGGACAGGCCCTGACGGATTCCCTCCGCTACCTGGCAGCGCTCCCCCAGACCCCCCACGGCGTAGCATCCCCTAAGCCAGCGCGGGGTCCCCAGCCCAGGACAGGAAGCCGCCCTCCACCCCTGTAGTGCTGAGGCGCACTCGCGCCAGCACACTTAGGTACCAGAGGCCCCAGGTAGCCTCGTGGCAGGGTCTGAGGGCCCCCAGCTTTGTGGGGACCGGGTAAGCACCCGAATCCTGGTCTAACAGCAGAGTCCCCGGTTCCCGCAAAACCCCTCAGTTCGAACAGGCCCGCTTCCTTGAGGTTCTTAGGAAAAGCCTTCTGTGCCAGGTTCGCTCGCCGATCCGTTACAGCACCATCACGGGAATTCCTGATCTTTTCTCCAAATATCAGCCAGTATTCCGAATCAAAAGAATACTCGGGAGCCTTGATGTGTGCAGTTTATTCTTTTTAATTCTTTTTACTATTTTTTAAAGATAATACAAAGTAGTATTAAAAAAGAAAAAGTTACAAATGATAACATAATTTCACTAAGTAAAATACTATGAATTCGACATTATTTGTTGCATTTCATAGCGTTGTCTTCATATTGGTTGTTCAGATTTGTCGCCCCTCAGTGGCACTGTCTCTGGGTGGCTGCGGGCCCAGGGCTGCCCCTGCCCCAGCCAGGTCCCCACGGCCTCTGGTGAGTTCCCCTTTGTCTTGCCATCAGCATGGTAAATGCTCAGTGACTGCTGTGCCCGGGAGAGGGCTCCACCCTCAGGGTTACTGTCTGGCCAAAGTACTGACTCCCTTTGGGGTCTCCCAGCCCGACCTCACAGGAGTTAACCACCACCTGGCTTCAAAAATTGTCATTTTCTTGGGTTTTCTTCATAGTTTTACCTCTGGGTATGTATTCCTGAGCAATCAGTTTGTTTTACCTGTTTGGAATTTCTATAAAGGGAGACCTACGAAAGGCATGTGGTAGTTTGTTCTTTATGTGTATTTAAATTTTGCCTTGTAGGAAACCAGGCCAGAAGCCATGGGATCCAAACCCAAGCTCTATTACTTCCGTGGCAGGGGCAGGATGGAGTCGATCCGCTGGCTGCTGGCCGCAGCTGGAGTGGAGGTGGGTTCTGACCCGGAAGCGGGGGAGGTGACTGGGGATTGTGGAAGTGACCTTCAGCTTTCAGATTCAAGGTGGCACCTCCAGGGCATATCTGTTCTTCCCCTTTCCAAGTGCCATTGTGGGTGTGAGATGAGGGAGTGCTTGTTCAGAGGAGTGCGGGCTGGGGAGAAATCGGAGGCAGGGGCGTGGGGGTGTTCTGGTAGCTTCAGAAGTGCTAAGATTTTGGTAGACAGCAAGACTAAGAAGAGAAAGGAGACTCACATCTGACGCCTCTCCCTGGCATTCCCTGACTTCCTGGCGTGTTTTAGGTCCTACTGCAGCATCCCAGTCATTTCCTATTCACCCCGATTCCCCAGCTAAGTTCTTCCCCACTGACTTTTCACAGGCGTCTTGGAATTGCCTTGTTTTTTTTTTTTTTTTAATTTTTTTTTTTTTTTTTTTTGAGAGAGAGAGAGAGAGAGAGAGAGAGAGAGAGAGAGAGAGAGTGTGGTGTGTGTGTGTGGCCAGCTCAGCCCACCAG